TTTCCCCCCCCCCCCCCCCCCCCGCCGCTTGCTCGCCTACAGGTGAGGAAGTGGACGAGGGAGCTGCTGAACGGCTACATCGACCACCCGGCGGTGACGACGGACGCCGTGAACGACTACATCACCCCTTCCTCCTTTGGGCAAAACGCCGGCATGGTCGGGAGCCTCACCCTGGCGCACATCGCCTACGAGGAGGCCGGGGGCAGGGGCGGGGGAGCCGGCTCGCCGACGGCGACCAAAACGGGCGGGGTGGGGGCGTGTCTCGCGTCGCCCTGCAATGTGAGCGTTGCGTTGGCCGCGGCAGCTGTGGTGGGCTTGGGGGCTCTGGCGATTGCCAAGGCTTCCAAGAAGTAAACGGCAGCGATGCAACATTGCAACTTTTGGGGGGACGGCGGACGAGGACTATGCATGGGGGTGGGGGCGTGCACTGCTGTGCTTGGCGCTTCACTCGGCGGTAGCGGAAGTGTGGCAGGGGCATGGTGTGGCGGCAAAGTGATCGTTTTCGCGATCGTGACCACCTTTTAGGCAGGAGCGGAGGTGACTTGCAAAAAAGAACGGCGGGCGGCAGATTACAAATGCTTTGTGTGCTGGTAGTCAGCGTGCGACCTTTGTCTATGGCGATATACGTTGATATTTTCTTGTTGTGCAAAGCACAATGGGTGCGTCGACAGAATTGTCAAGTGGGTAAACTGCGTGTAGCTGCATTGAGGACGTGTGCGTCGACTCGTTTTGCCTCCAAATAGTGTCTGTCCCATTTGAGCCGGGATACCAAAGACCCTCGCGACCTAGGTGAGCCGTCCCGTACGAACACCATCTTTCCCTCTTTGTTGTTGACCGTTGTACAAGCGATCATCGACGAGACTGTCGGGTTTCCCGTAATGGATTGTTTTCGTTTGCGCCACAAGAACCACCCCGATGCTGCTGCAGGTTACCACAGCCTTGCGCATTGCCATGTGTATTGGGTTCATCCGTCACAGCAAGAAACAGGAAGTACATCTTGCTGGTAGGGGGGTGATGGTGCACACATCGAGCGTCACATTTTGAGTTTTGATAACACCCATTCTCGGCGTGAACTGATGAGAGAGTGCTCGAGTTGATTTTGTTTCTATCGTGCATAGTTTGCATTTATTCAAAGAGTTGTCTCACTACTCTCTACAGAGACGGCTTAGGACTCCATGGGTAATCTCATGTGGGTAGCGAATCAAGCGTCAACGAAGAGAAGTCGCCGGGGAGGGCCTTATCAGCTCGTGCAAACAGCAGTGCACTCAAGACTTGGAGCACCGATCAGTGCTGGCAAAACAGTCTTCTGAATTAACACCTCCTTGCCTCACTCACCCATGTTCCATTCATTTCCGAAGAAAAAATAAGTCGGGTTCTTCAGATGCTGCCCGAGGCTACCCCCGGCCTGATGTGTTGCGGCAATAAAACTGCCTGAGTAACACCCCTTTCCTTCTTTCTCTATTGGGACAGGGACCTTGGACGAGGTGTTTAATTTTATTAACGTTATAGGTATCGGCGTTGTTTGCCCATTTTGGTTCAACCGTAGCGCCCCGTGTGCACGAGGAATGGCATGTGCAATGTGCACGTCGAACAAAACAATAGCGCAGGACGGATCTATAGGTATCGGCGTTGTTTGCCCATTTTGGTTCAACCGTAGCGCCCCGTGTGCACGAGGAATGGCATGTGCAATGTGCACGTCGAACAAAACAATAGCGCAGGACGGATCTATAGGTATCGGCGTTGTTTGCCCATTTTGGTTCAACCGTAGCGCCCCGTGTGCACGAGGAATGGCATGTGCAATGTGCACGTCGAACAAAACAATAGCGCAGGACGGATCTAGAGGTGGGTTAGCACGCGTAGGGGGCATCTCCTTATGTGCGCCCCTACGCTTGCCGTCCGTGTCCTGACTGGCCTTTTCACGAACAAACGTCGTACGCACTTGCTGTGTGAAATCAAGCTCCACGTGTTTTCACAAAAACTATGTGCTTTGTCGCTGATATTTGTGAGGAGAACGACACATAGTGCGTGCCATCCATAGCGTCTTGAAATCAAGAAGAATTTATGCGCCTGGTCTGCTTGGGTCTTGCAGACAAAGGCGTGCGCCCGCAAGATTGTCACATCTGTGACACCTTCACGTACTCTAGAAAAGAGGACCAGACTCAAATTTTTGGCAACTTCATAACCCTCCTCTTGTTTTTCGCGCCAAATACACCTAGGGCCGAGAGCTTCGAGCTACGGTGTCTGGACGATGGCCGCTCAATCCCGATACCGACGGAGAATCGCATCTTCGACTGCTGTTGCGGTCCTGAACGCACAATGGTTCAACTTTCAACTTTCATATGTGCCCAAAATTGTGGTCCTGCTGCACAAACGGTTGCGCCTCCCCGCCTCCTCCCCTCGGTTCCTTCATCACGTCTTGCCCTCTACTACTGCCATCCCTCCCTCTTCTCTTGACATGTATCAACCGCTTGTCTCTCTCTGCTCTGACTCCCTCCCGAACGGCAGCGTTTCGGGAGAATAGTTCGACAAATAAAAATTAGACAGAGCTCCTTAAATAGGCGGAGGATGCTGCCACCTATTGCTTTTTGTTTCACGTAGCCGCGAGCGGCTGCTGCGCCCCCTGCCCCTCCTGCTTGGTAATGGGCAGGAAGAGCTTGAACTCCGGCGGGAGTTCCTCCTCCGAGTACAGGCGGTCGGAGAAGTAAATCCTGCGGATGCGGCAGTTCGCGTGGATCTGCACCCGCAGGGTCTCGATGTAATTCGTGCCGTACGCTCGGCGCGTGAAGTCGCTAAGGTTGAACTGGATCTGGTTCCAACCCTGGTCGGCGAGAAGGACAAGGTCAAGGTTTCGAGCCCATTCGTCAGCAGAAACAAGGAAACAACCGAGTTCTGGTATCTAAGAATTACTGTAAACGCAAACGAGGATGGAGGGTGGATGGTGTCATGGCGGAGGGGTTGAGAGGAGGTGTGGTTCGAGCATGTCGAGGGTACGCTGTGCGTGCAGGCGAAAGCTTGAGAGGGGGAGGAGGAGGAATGCTCATTGGTTGTTTGCCTCACGTCGCTTGGCACTTCACCACGCGCGGCAGGGGGCTAATATCTATATTTCTCCTTTGTTTCACACAAAATTTCGTGCGTGACTAAATCTCCCTTCCTCGCTGCCTGTGCCGACCACTGTTCCCAGGCGGTACGATAGCGATCGTGCCCTCGTCATTTTTGTTCACGAAATTCACCCACGTCTTTGTCCCCCTCGTTTTCGAGGGGCAAGGGGCGGGGACACAGAAGGGAAGGCGAGGGGAAGGGACGCAGTGTGAGAGCATTTCTTCTTTTTGGCTGCTCACCTCATCCAACCGCATCGGCATCGTGCAGATGAAGGGCTTGACGCGCGTCGTGCTCTGGTAGTTGGAGGCGCGGAATCTCCTGCGCACGTTCTTGTCGTCGAGCACCTGCACCTCGAACGTGAAGTACTTTTTGAGGTTCTTGAGGATCATCACCAGGAAGGGGAGCTTGATCCCGAGAGTCTTGCCCGCGTCGGCGGGGCAGGTGATGAAGGTCGTCGACACGTTTGTGCCCACGATCTCGAGGACGGACGACTGGATGTCCTGGTCCGTGATGCGCTTGATGTGCCCGTTGCGCACCTTCTTATCCCATATTTGCAATGGTTTTGACCTGTTTTGTGGTGTCAAGGCGGGAGGGTGGGGGGCGTAGGCAGCAGTAGAGGCGTGGGGCCACAGCAACGCGCACTCAAGACACGGTGGTAATCGCGGTGGCAGGAGGGAGTGGCGGGAATACAGACAGACGGGCACGACCCCACAGCAGCATTCATTCAAGGGGTGGGTGCATTGGCGAAGGAATCGAAGGCCTCGTTTTCTCCGCTGCTGGTGAAATGTGTAAACTGCTTAGTAAGCCGTTTCACATGCTGAGGGCTTTCATGAAAAATTTCGTCTATTACAGTCGCAGCAGCACAAGATCACAAACAAAGTGGAGTGGCGGCAAGTCAACACGTCACAACTTGCCGCGCTCCCGGTTCAATACCCAAACATCATGGACAACCGTACAACCAAGGTCGAGTATGGGTGAAGAGTTTATCGAGTCCTGAAACGTAGTCCACTGCGTTCAGGTGGTGTTTGGGTGACCGTTACGGGACCACTGCGTAGACACATCTATTGCTTGGTGGGCACACCAATAAGTGTGTTTCATTCAGTAGAGTTGCCGTGCTGGAGATAATGACCGTACGGTCAGCATCGCCCATCCAACCAGCAACAGTAGATGGCTAGGAAAAAGGTTCCAGTTCAAAAAGGAAGAGCTTCCCAGCAAAGTCGTGGAAGCCGGCGCAAACGGGCCGCTCACCGCAGCAGTCGCCGACTAGAGCGTATATGGAGGCGGCCGGCTGGGCGGCGGTGTTTGAACAACCATTTTCACACTTGAGCATATCATACGAAGATCACACCCACTCACCCTATACTGTACAAGATAGACAGGAAGCCCGACTGGAAAGTATTCCGGAACATGGCTCCAGCCCGCCAGCAGATGAGCGCCGCCGCGCCACCCTTCCCAGCAACAGCAGTCGGAGCGCTGCTTTCTCTGGTGGTGCTATTACGCCGCCTATCCTCCTTCCGTACGACACACGAAAAGTATCAGATACCTCCGATTTGTGGCAGAACTCCTGTGAACCTATCGCGGCCGTTCGCTTGTCGTTACTCTAAGACGGTGTAGGGATCACGCTGTCCACGTACGGAAGGGCGCCTGTGATGCTAATGCTGATGCTTCAGTGCTGCGGGCGGTAAGGCTGACGGTTACACTCAGTTTTCCACGTTCAAAGCACGGGGCACCCCGACTATATAATTCGCGGAGCCCCCAGAAGTTGGGGCTTCCCTCGATTGATCGATACCGGGTGTGATACCCGTACAACTGACGCACACATGCTGTACGGGTCCAACTGACGCCTGCGCCTTCCGCGGTTACAGACGAAAATACCCAAGGCACCGTTCGTTCCGATCTCTGCTGGGTACACTGTTTGAAAGGCTTACCCATTAGACTAGTCAGTCAGCGCTGACTGTGTAGTCAAATAGGTAAGACTATAATAAGCCTTTCTAACATACACCACACTAAATAAAATGGTTGGTTGGTGTGTGAATTTGATAGCACATTGATTTGTATCCGTGTATGCGTATTCTCAATGGAACTTCGAAGTAACTTGTCGTCAGACTAGAGTCTTCGCAGCAGGTGACAAAAGGAGTTCGACAAGGGGGGTCGATATGTAGAGTCCACTGGACCGGATACACGAGCCCAAAAGAAAAATACGTGTACTTCGAAGTAGCAATCTATACAGCAGCGACTTGCCTTCCCTATGCATACAATTTCCTACTAACAACAAAAAATGTCCGAATATTTTGGTACATTCCCTGATCATGTTGAGTGTATGAGCTGTGGAAGGGAAACGGCCAGCGAGGGTTGTCTCTCACATATCGAATATGTGAATGAAGTGTGGTGGGGATGGGCGCGAGCCTGAACTGAATACGGGCGGGTAGGAATACCTGTACACGACTCGTCTGCACTCTAGTCTACAATCTACAATTCCACGGCAACCGCTATTTGCACGACCGTCGTGCAAATAAAATCTGCACGACTCCAAACGCCTCCAGAACCACACACCCACAAACCCAATTTGAATCTCACAAAACACGACACAACACCACAACACAACACAGCAACAACACAGCAACATCACCACGCAAGCGCCGTATGTCTCTCCATCTACTCCTACAAGAGTGCGGAGGAGATGACGATGGCGCCGGTAGTGATATGGACGTGTGTATAGAGAACGATGGCCCTCCCGCTCCCCCTGCCAGCAGCAGCAGTCCTCCTCTCGCGGGCAGCACGTCCTCCTCCCTGGGCTCCTCAATGCCCCAAGAGTACCAAGCACAAGGGGCCGGTGACGACCCCGATCAGCCTGTAGATGTTGCGTTAGACTCTAGCCCTCACAGGACGAGCGCGGACGTTGCTGATGGCGATGGCGCGAGACCACTTTGTGAAGCAGCGGAAGCACACCCAGCACTACAAGAACGAGAGACGCCGCAAACACCAACGAGCGCCGCGGGAGGCGCAGGTGGCGAAGGTCCTGAGGCCACACCAACGGTGAGTTTGCCGTCCGTAGTCTGTGCCTTCCATGGTTGCACAAAATGTAGGTTT